CCACCATGCCGCCGCCCCATGCACGCACCCCCTTTGGGTTGTTGCCCCCCCACTCTATTCCTTTTAAGGAAAATTACTTTCTTTTTATTTTCCTTAATTTTATTTTGATTAGAATAAGGACTAATTTTCCCTTGGTTAGCAAGTTGGTGAATTTACGAAATATCCCTATTTGATTTTCCTTTGATTTATTTCATTTTTATCAAAATTAGTTTTAGGAAATGATTGCCTTTTATTTGTTTTATTTTATTTTTGGTTTATTTTTATTTTACACATTCCTTGTAAAGGCCATGGGCCTTAGCCTATAAATAGGTTGCTCCCCCTCATGTTTTGAATCATCTTAGAACCTTTGAATTGATATTCAATAGAAAATTGAGAGTTTTACTCCCCTATTCAAGGTGAACCCCCACAACAGTAATAAGAATAACCTCAATAACAAGATGATGAATCAACCCCAAGAAAGTTAAACAGATTTATGCTTGGTAAGATGATCAAAGATCAAGAAGAAAAGAGAACTTGTTCCTATCTTCAGGATTTCGATCTGTCCACAACCTAATTGATCAAACAAGATTGAAAGTTCTAAACATGCATTCTAAACACAAGAATACAAAGAAAGCTTAAAGCTTGAGAGAGATTAAACTCAATCTGAAATTTTCATTCATGAAATGTTGTGTTTGAAAAGCAAATGTACATCCCTATTTATAGTAATTGAAAAGACACAATGAAAAGACACAACCCTTGGATGAACAGACACAACCCTTGAAAAATACATAATAAATTAAATATGTGGATGAATCTGGATTTTTAGATTCATGAAGTTTCTTGGATGACAAGATGTGTTTTCAAGCTTGAAGGGATGCAACTCTTTACCAAGTGTGAACACCTTAGCTTGGAAGTGACCATTCAACCCTTCTTGTAGTCTTTTAGCTCTAGCTCTTGTGATTAGACCTGGTGGCATAATGATTGGCTCATGATTGGGTTGACTTTGAGCATAAGCTTCATTTGAGCTGATTTGAGCTTGCTCCTCTTGTAGGCGTTCCCCGTGCACTCCGTAATCACTCATTTCTATATCACTTAGGAATCCATACTTTTACCCTCAGAGCATGCTTGGTTGGTTGTTTACCAAGCTCGTGGAGTGTTTCCGACTTTGAGCATAGTGAGTATTTTGTCTGCTCAAGGTAACGACTGCAAAAGTAATCCCTCTAACTCTTAGCCTTTCGGGTTGAAACCATTTATACGATTGGATTCAAGTGGCTTGTGACTCGAGTAGTCCAATACGCTTGGGTTGTTGCGTATCATTTGGTATCAGAGCTTAGGCTCTAGACCGAGATATACGTTATTTTTCTATGTGTAAATTTCTTGTTTTTGTCTTTACTTTCCCCTATTCGAAAAACTCATAAAAAAAGTTCATCGATTGTTCTTGTTCTTCTGTGTGCCAAACTTTTTCTATCATTCTTGCATAAGAACTTTTTGAAAATTGCTTTAAAGTGTATAAAACTTGTTTGTTTGTGTTTAGCACCTCAAAAGCTTTCCAAGAAGCCAAGTTTTACTTTAATCTGAGCCCTATAGCCAAAGTTATCAATTTTTCTTCGAACCCCATAATTTATGAGAAATCTGCAGAGAGCACAAAACCGAGAGCTGACTTCAAAAATTCATAACTTTTTGCTCCAATAGATCTAAATTGATTGAAACCAGTGTCATTCGAAAGATCTCTGAGTTAGCTTTCCATAGAGTTCAAAATCAATAATTTTAGATTTGTGGCTTGGGAGTTATTGAGTTTTTTGTGAACACTGTTTTCTGGAAAAATCTGGCAACCGCCGAGAGAACATAGTCCCAACTTCAATGATTTATATCTCTGTGACCTTTTTATTGTTTATAGTCAAATCAGATGCCAAATTGAAGGTCTTGAAAGAGCTTTCCAGGGACATAAAGATCGCAGCCATCCGAGGTCTGTAGCGAAAGTTATCAGCGTTAGAAGAGGTGTTGTTAGGGTTGACTTTTTACTGCAGAAACATGTGTCGGTAGCCCTGTTTGACCACGTTTTTTACCAATTTCCCATTATTATTTGCCAAAAAGGATCACATATTCTTAAAGTAGAACATACATAGATTATTTCTGCATAAAAGTCAAACTATGGTACTTTAAAAGAAATATGAGATAAATGCGGTCAAAGTTGGAAGAAAATAACATAATTCTGTTTTTTGCAGAATTGCGCCTGGCGCATTTTTGGAGGGCAATTTGTCAAAACGCACGTTTTGATTAATGAAGGGCAAGGAGAACATTTCCCACATGTT